AGGGGACGCAGCCGGGACCAGGGCTGTGCAGGCGTGTGCTGGGGGCACTGCTTTGCTGGGACAGGTTTCTTCTTTCCTCCTGAGCAGGTCGGGTCCTGACTCGTGACTTCTGACGGGGGCGGTTTGAGTCCATAAACCCCAGAAGCCAGTTTCTCCCCCTTCTGTTCACGAGCCGTTGGAACTTTTTCTTTGTCCTGTACCTTTGTGTTGAGTATAAACAACTGTTCTTAGCATTTCCTCGGGCACCAGACCTACTTTACCTGACGCTCGCTCTCAGGCCGCGTGCTGGGCTGGGTCCCCGACCTTCCTGCTCAGGTCAGCCGACGGCCGGGCGCCCAGCGGACGGGTGCCCGTCAAAGCCCCAGGCTGCGTGGAGGCCCGGCCTGGGCAGGAGGGATTCCGGGGCTTCTGCTGCTGACGCAGGCACACCGATGGCTTCCCCGCCGCCCGCAGTCCCGCCACGCTGCTGACTCTCCCAACCCTACGCGCTGCGGAGCCGCAGGCAGCGTTTTGTCCAGCGTGTCCATTTGAGTCCTCAGAGGCAGAAGCCGGGAAGAGATCCCTGTGTGAGACTTGTAGGGGGAAATCCTTGGAAGAAGGTGGGGAAGGAGCCTGTGGCTGCTGGGACAGCTGTCAGACCTGGAGCAGCCCAGCCCTGTGGGCAGAGGGGAAGAGGGGGTCCCGGGAGAGAAGATTTGGCTGCAGAGCAATTCTAAGACGGTTGTGGCAGGGCTGATGGGGCATCCTTGAGGGTCAGAGGAACCCTGGCTCCCTGAGTCTGTGCCCGGCTCACCCGTCTCTGGTCTCCCTGTGTCTGTGCCCGGCTCACCCGGCCCTGGTCTCCCTGTGTCTGTGCCCGGCTCACCCGGTCTCTGGTCTCCCTGTGTCTATGCCCGGCTCACCCGTCTCTGGTCTCCCTGTGTCTGTGCCCGGCTCACCCGGTCTCTGATCTCCCTGTGTCTGTGCCCGGCTCACCCGGCTCTGGTCTCCCTGTGTCTATGCCCGGCTCACCCGGCCTCTGGTCTCCCTGTGTCTGTGCCCGGCTCACCCGGCCCTGGTCTCCCTGTGTCTGTGCCCGGCTCACCCGTCTCTGGTCTCCCTGTGTCAGTGCCCAGCTCACCCGGTCTCTGATCTCCCTGTGTCTGTGCCCGGCTCACCCGGCCCTGGTCTCCCTGTGTCTGTGCCCGGCTCACCCAGTCTTTGGCTGGCATGAATGTGGGCGCAGAGTCCCAAGCACAGATGCTGAGACAGCAGTCACTACACCTCCTCATGGTGGGAGGGTTGCCTGACAGGTGCATTTCCATGGCCCCCCCATGATCATCTCTGACAGCAGCTGACTTGATTTGTTCCATAGTCCGTTGTCTTTTTTTTTTAATCCTCACCCGAGGACATTTTTTCCATTTTTTGTTCAGATAGAGCAGGAGGGACAGAGAGAGAGAGAAACCTCGACGTGAAAGGGACACATCGAGAGGCTGCCACCCGCACGACCTACCAGGGCCAGGGACAAACTGCAACCGAGGTACATGCCCTTAGCGGGAACCGAACCCGGGTCTCTCTAGACCGCAGGCCAATGCTCTAACCGCTGAGCCAAACCGACCAGGGCCACAGTTCGTCTTCTTAAAGGCTGGGACCAGAGTGCTGCGGAGGGCCAGGCAGGGCCACCCAGATTTCGAGGCCTTGTGTGAATGTTGCCACAGGGGTCCAGGTACCAGACATTTGGTATTATTACAAAAGCTTGTTTTCCTTGCTTGGGAGAAGAAAGTGGATACTTTGTGTTTGCGTCTTGCTCTTGCATTTAGAGTATGTTGTGAAAAGTAGTGGCTCACCTGTGGCACTGGGGAGGGTTCTTCCCATCCAGACCCCATGCGAGCTGGTGTCTCTGCTGTCCGTCTTCACAGCCCACAGCGTCAGCCACCGTACCTGCCAAACAACTTCTAGAAAGGGATCCAGGGAGAGAGTGTGGGGATTGGATGTTCTCACGCAGGTGCCCTAGCTTGGCTGCAGGGAGTGTAGGTGACGTGTCTTCCCTTGTCCTTCCTGGCTAGTCCTTCCTGACTAGTCCTTCCTGACTAATTCTTCCTGACTAGTCCTTCCTGACTAGTCCTTCCTGGCTAGTTCTTCCTGGCTAGTTCTTCCTGGCTAGTTCTTCCTGGCTAGTTCTTCCTGGCTAGTCCTTCCTGGCTAGTTCTTCCTGGCTAGTTCTTCCCTTGTCCTTCCTGACTAGTCCTTCCTGGCTAGTTCTTCCTGGCTAGTTCTTCCTGGCTAGTCCTTCCTGACTAGTCCTTCCTGGCTAGTTCTTCCTGGCTAGTTCTTCCTGGCTAGTTCTTCCTGGCTAGTTCTTCCTGGCCAGTCCTTCCTGGCTAGTTCTTCCTGGCTAGTTCTTCCTGGCTAGTTCTTCCTGGCTAGTCCTTCCTGGCTAGTCCTTCCTGGCTAGTTCTTCCTGGCTAGTTCTTCCCTTGTCCTTCCTGACTAGTCCTTCCTGGCTAGTTCTTCCTGGCTAGTTCTTCCCTTGTCCTTCCTGGCTAGTTCTTCCTGGCTAGTCCTTCCTGACTAGTCCTTCCTGGCTAGTTCTTCCTGGCTAGTTCTTCCTGGCTAGTCCTTCCTGACTAGTCCTTCCTGGCTAGTTCTTCCTGGCTAGTTCTTCCCTTGTCCTTCCTGGCTAGTTCTTCCTGGCTAGTTCTTCCTGGCCAGTCCTTCCTGGCTAGTCCTTCCTGGCTAGTTCTTCCTGGCTAGTTCTTCCTGGCTAGTTCTTCCTGACTAGTTCTTCCTCGCTAGTTCTAGGATAGTCATGGACACTCTCATGGCCGGCTGCCCATTCCATGGCGGATCAAGCCCTCGCAGCGGCTGTATATCCATCACTGATGTTCTCCTGCTAATGAAGGTTAGGCTATGCTATTTGTCAGTATTGTGGAGCAGTGAGCCAAATACTGAAAAATCAGTAAGGTAAAAATGTTCTTGAAAGAAATGTTTTCATTGTTACCTCTCACCTGAATAGTTCACACTGCTGTCCAAGTGATAGTTCTTATGTGAAACTATGATTTTTTACGCTACTGCTTAAAATCTTTCAATCGTTCTATATGGCCATTGGATTAAAACTGAGAACTTGGCAGGACAGAGGAGCCACCTTCTGACCTGGCCCCTGCCTGTCGCCTACAGTCCAGAGTTCTCCTCACTCTCTCTCCATTTCTTCTCTTCTCTTCTTCTTGCTCCACTGTTGACTCCCTAAGCCCACCCGATGTTTAAGCCCCTCTGTACTTATATGTTGTCTTCGTTAAGTTATGCTGGTGACGGTCAACACAGAAACACTAACGTTTCGGGGACCATACAACAGAAGTTAACTTTTTGTTCACATAATAGTCCGGTGCAGGTATTCCTGGTTGGTAGATGGCTTTCCCCACCCACTTGGAGTCTCGGGGAAGGAACCTTTGTTTTCTCCCCATCCATCTAATAAAAAGGACGGGAGAAGGGAGAAAACTCTCTTATTTCTTTAGTGTTGTGGCCCGGAAGTGGCACTGATCAGTTTTGCTTAAAATCCGCTGTTGAGACCCAACCAGATGCAGGGCAGCCAGGAAACATGATCTCTGGCTGAGCGGTCGAAGAGCACACACCTGGGGACTTGCAGCTGTCTCTGCTGCTACTCACGGGACACGGCCAATGTGTAGCCTGGATCCCAACTCATCCCTGATTCGGCTCCTCTGGACAAATCGTACGTGACCGTTTCAGATCCATCTAAAGCTTTGTGTCACTCAAAAGGCTTGGAGTGTCTCCACTCCACCCTCGCACAACACAGAGAGCGTGCCAGCTGTCCTCACATGTCACACTGCACTTCAGTCGCTTGCTGGTGCATAGTTCTTTATTGTACAACTTGAACTCCTGTAGGACTGGGGCTGGACTTTTATTTTACATCAGTAAATGTCTGGCACAAACTGTGCACCCACCAATGCTTGTTAAATAAAGGAAAGGTTATCAGATGACCAGATTCACAAGAGAATGGTAGAACATCCAACATCGATGTCTTAAAGAGTGGACTTTATCTTAAAAGAGCAGGTTGATGTTAAAACACACACATCAATCCCGATTTTAAATTGAGGACTGTGTAGGCCTGTGAAGAGTCTTTGCTCTCGTTAATGAATCCGCATTGTTGTGGGCGTTCACAGGGACGATTGCATGAACACCCTGACGGAGTTTGTGGACTTAAAAGTCAAGGACTGTTACTTGGGTTTAGCGCTTCACTAAAAGGAATGTTATGTCCCCAGAATGTGTTTTGGCTACAAGTAGGCTGAAACTTGGGTCAAAATTGTTTGAAAAATTAGAAAATACATGCTGTCATATAGCAATAAGTCTAGAATTGGGGTAGCTCCAGGACAGGTTGACCCAGGGACTCGGTTAAGTCATCTAGGACCCGGGTTCTGTCTGTATCTCAGCCCCACCTTCCTCAGTATATTTACTGTGTCCTTGGGCTGGATCCCCTCAGGGTCACAGATACCTTCCAACAAAAAGTGGGGGAATCTGTGACCCTGGGTATGTCCTGAGGGAGAAAGCAAGGATACCTCTCCCCCAACCTTGGAAGTGTTTCTTTCTAGTCTGATGGGACTGTCCTGTATATGCTGATCTGCGGACTAGAAACTTTTCCCAGGGGAATTCCATCTTCTACATGATTAGCTGATTCAGTGCCTATCACACAGCAAAGATTTTCTAGAAGCACTTGGGTGGATAGAAGAGGTGGGTAGCTCTTCTCTCCAAAATTCATGGGCTCATTAGGAAGAAGAGAAGGTGGGATATACGCTGGGTATTCAAGCAGGAACGTTCACTGTGGACATTTTAACAGTGCAGACTATTGAACGGCTGTCGGGAAAGAGTGAATAGTTTTCTAAACCAGGCAATGACCCACTTCTATCTCCTGCCTCTTCTACAATTTCCAAATCACGTATTTAAAAATGTACAACAGTAGACCTTTCAGACTGTGTTCCTTGAGTGCAATTATTTATTCTTTACTTTAGGTCTCATTATGGGATTAATCTTACGCTATGCCACGGCACCAACCGATATTGAAAGTGGAACTGTGTATGATTGTGGAACCCTGGCCTTCAGTCCATCCACTCTGCTGATCAACATCACTGACCAGGTTTATGAATATAAGTACAAGAGAGAAATAAGCCAGCACAACATCAGTCCTCACCAAGGCAATGCTATACTTGAAAAGGTAAGGATCCTATCTCATACTTTTGTTTCCAGTACAAATAATTGCATCATACATGAACCACAATAAGCAATATATCCACACACATATATATGCTTTTTTCAACACCATGCTATTGGGGTGATTAAATTCACGAAAGGGTTAACATCTTCATCAACTGGCCGCCTCCTGCATGCTCCCCACAGGGGATTTGGCCTACAACCTGGGCATGTGCCCTGACTGGGAATCAAACCAGCTGCCAACTCTCTTGGCCTGCTGGGGGTCATCGCAATGCAATGAACTACAAGTAGAAACTGCTAGGAGTGAGGGGGAGCATCGCAAGGGAGCAAATGCTCCAGATCTCTGGCTGTAGCCCAATTTATTTGCAAAGTGGTTCCCTAGGTTACATGCTGTTTTAGATAATTAAGTCCTTGAGATGGCATCTCTGCTGACCATAAAGCCAAGCCCAGTATATTTTCTGTCTCTCGCTGTTTTCAGTAGAGATACCTCAAAACAAACTCACATGCCTGAGCATATAGCCCATTGTCTCTTTTGGGGCGGTGTTCCAACCCTTTCTCATGCAAACCTTATCTATTCACACATATTCAATACATTCAGTTCAGACAAGGTGGCGTTCCAACCCATCGAACATAACTTGTCTATTCACAGGCATACTTTGATCCTTGGCTGGTCAGGTCTCGAGAATGCAAACCTCAAATTTACATTTTGTTCATCCACCAAATCCCCAACCCTGTAACTGGTGACCTGTTGATGCGTGGATTGCCACTCAACCACTGAGCCACACTGCTGGGTGGTCTGATATACTCTTAATGTAAGCCCAATTGTCTGTATTTTTTTATTTATTTTTTATTTTTTACCCTTACCGGAGGACATCCTTTCGCCCTTTGTTCAGATAGAGCGGGAGGGGGAGAGAGGAAGAGAGAGAGAGAGAGAGAGAGAGAGAGAGAGAGAAACATCTACGTGAAAGGGACACATTAAATGGTTGCCACCCGCACGACCCAACCAGGGCCGGGGACAAACTGCAACCGAGGTACGTGCTCTTAGCAGGAACCGAACCCGGGTCTCTCTGGACCGCAGGCCGACGCTTTAACCGCTGAGCCAAACAGGCCAGGGCTGTCTGTATTTTTCATATAATTTTTTGCAAACCATAGTTATATTAGGTAAAAAGATATACTTCAGCTGACTCTGCCTTTCATGATGCTTGATTCCAATTTTCATGTGTGTTTTAAATATCATTATATATATTACCAGCTGGCTACTGCATTCAAATTTCCCTTAAGTCAAAAGGAAAATAGGGGAATGAGAAAATCGGTGTTTACAAACCTGGATCTAGGGTGACCAGTTTTTGGCCGTCAGCACCAAACACTGCCGCCCAGCTGTTGGCAGCACAGCGACAGGAGGGCCACCTTGGGGCAACTTGACTCCGTGAGTTCAGTTCCGGAGCCTTAGGTGGGGGAACACTGAGACATGACTCATCTTTTAAAGATGGTTTTACGCCCTGGCCGGTTTGGCTCAGCGGTAGAGCGTTGGCCTGCACTCCAGAGAGACCTGGGTTCGGTTCCTGCTAGGGGCATGTACCCTGGTTGCAGTTTGTTCCTGGCCCTGGTTGGGTCGTGCGGGTGGCAGCCACTCGATGTGTCTCTTTCACGTCGATGTTTCTCTCTCTCTCTCCCTCTCTCTCCCTCCCCACTCTATCTGAACAAAAACTGGAAAAATGTCCTCAGGTGAGAATTAAAAAAAAAGAAAAAAAAAGATGGTTTTACTATTGCAAATATGTGAACTGCCTCAGGTATTAGAAGGAAAACTTTATTCTGCTCTCAGGATTCAGAAAACAGGCGCAGCTGCCTTTGGTGGTGTCGCGTGTGTATGGACCAGTCTTTGCAGTAAGTGAATTTGCGTTTCACAGTGCAGGCCCATGATGAGAGCCAGAATGTCACGGAACTCATTCCAGATCCTTTCGAGTCTGACTGAGAACTTCCTTGATGTGATGGAGGTGTATCTTATACCTTTTATCCCACGTGGATTTTGTTTTCTTTTCATATATGCTTTTAATTTTTTTATTTTGAGAGATTTGGGGTAGCAGGGGAGATACTTCGTCTGCCTTTGTTCCTCATTCAAGATGAGTAATTTTTTAGAGTTTTTTTTTTTTTTTTTTTTCCCACATTATCTTTCACTAACACACTTCTGGATTAACTTCCTCCTACCACTTGGTGAGGGCTCAGGAAAGTCAAACTAAATATAATAGTAGCCTAAATCACACTTAGTTAGGAAAGCAAATTGAAACACAAAGAAAATGAAACAATGTGCTACTGGAATAAAAAGGAGCGACTCCCAGATCTGCTGTTCTGGGTGATCTCTTCCACGTGATGCTCCCTGTTCACGTGGACGAGAGGAAATGATCTATCTTGAAATACACCATTTTTAAAAACTGTCTTATTAGCAGTATAATATTGTAATCAAAACATACTCTTCAGTTTGCCTTTGGTTTAGTACCAGGACATAGTAATTTCCCTCCACACTCTCTTGCCTACTTTTCTTTTTTTGGTTACTCCTCACCAGAGGATATTTCTCCATTTATTTTTAAATGAGTAGAGGGGAGCACGGGGGAGGGGGGGGAGAGAGATCGATATGAGAGAGACACTTGGATTGGTTGCCTCCAGCACGACCCCAACCAGGGCCAGGGATTGAACATGCAACCCCAGTATGTGCCCTTGACCTGGAATTAAACTTATGACCCTTCAGTCCATGGGCTGATCATCTAATCTCTGAGCCAAACCAGCCAGGGCTCTCTTGCCTCCTTTTATCTGCATTTGTAAGCAGCGCTATTTCTTCAAAGAGGTTGACCCCCAAAAATGCTGATAATTATCTCTGTTACTATTGCAATTTTGTTCTTTAACAAGATTGCCAATAAACACCAGATCAGACATTTTGTTTCTGTTATTGACATATTGATTCCTTTGTCAGTAGCAAACGCAAGTGTTTGCTTTTGAAAGATTAAGGCAAGAGATGAAGAAAATGTCTAAATTGCTGGGGTCCTCTTGGTTTTTCACTGAGGAGAGTCTGAGTTCTGCACAGGATTGTTTAATTGACCTCGAATGGCTCAAATGTTTTCTAGATCGACTTCTAAACCATGTGACTCATTGAGTCACAATTCGAACTTGTTTCTCCAGACATCCAAGGCTGGCAATGAGTGACTCTGTCCCTAGGGTGCATCCTCCCCTCGTTGCTGGGGGGAAGGGGCACCCACTGGTACACTCACCATGTTAGATGACTAAGTGGAAACACCTTGTTTTAAATGGCCAGAGTATATCTTAGTGCCAAGTGGTTATGTTGGGGGACTCTAGTTAGTCTTCAAAAATGAAAAACCCATAGTCTGTCTTCCTCACAGCAATTCTCTGCTGTGTGCAACGGTTCACACTAGTCAACCAATCAATCTGCATCCGAAGGCTTGTAGGGGGGTAACATGCAGTAATCGAGAAAAAATGTAGGACCAGACAGATCTGCCATATGTCCTTAGGAAATTCCTTGAACTCTCTAATCCCAACTTTCTTACCTGTAAAGTGGTGAGATTGGAACGGTTCTGTAGATGGTCTGACTGTTTAAGTGAGATGGTGTATAAATGCCTGGCTCCCACGGGGCCCTTCATGGCCTTGCTCACCCTCTCCACACCTCCCACCGCCTCTTCCAGTCCCACTGCCAATCCCACCACCAGCCAGCACTACCTCCAACACCAACGCCACCTTTACTGCTGCCAGGTAATGTCTGCGTGCTTAATATGTGCCAGGGATTACAAAATGCGTGTGTTTAATTTAACATCTGTTGAGGAGATAGGAGTGATGTCCAATATATACCTGTACCTAACTTAGTTCTAAATGTTATCATAGGGACGGTGACGACTTTAAACCTGACAGATGAGTTGTCACGATGTCTGAACATGTCAGGGAGGCTTCCTGCAGGAGGTGGCCCTTGAGAGGGACTCTGAAGTTTGGACAGGCAGTAGGAACCGAGTTCAGAAAGGTCCCTGGGCAGGCTGGCCTGGAGGGGAGGTTGTGGGGCGTGGAGGCTCCGTGGGCCCACAGAACCTGCTTCAGAAGAGCAGCCAAGACTGGAGGGTGTTAGACCTGGCTGGAGACGGTGAGAATTCCAGGACAGAGGGCAAGAGGTTTGGGGACAGCGCTGTGTGAACATGACCTGGATCTGCACAGAAAGCATCTGACTTAGAGCAAGGAGGAGCCCTGACCTCCTGAAGCCGAGCCCTGTCACTTCATAGGTGAGCACAGCAAGAACTTAAGACCTAACTGATTTGAGTCACTGGTTCCCAAACACGTCTGCACTTTGCAGTCACCTGAAGCTTGAAAATTCCCGACGCTTGTGCTCCCCCCGGGTTTGTGATTTTACCAGATTAGCGTGTGACCTGATCCTTGGAAGTTTTAGAAGATCACCAGGGGATTCCAAAGAGTGGACACAGTTGGGAAGCACTGATTTAAGTTCTGTTTGTTCTGGGACCCTGGTGAGGAGAGAGCCGCCGCCGTTTGCCCCGCCCCCGCACTGCCCGGTCCACCGGCGCTTGACTGTCCATGAGTGTCCACGACCATCCACACTCTGCCAGGCCCTGCACTCACCTCTGTGATGGTCTAGCTCCTGCTTTCAGATGCCAGCTCCTCCTTACTCCTAGAATCTTGGCTGTTTTGTGAAATGTCACCTCTTCAGAGAGGGCTTGCCCCTGAAATTCTTTCGCACATTATTGCCCCCCCTTCCTTTACCTCTGTTTGGTTTACTTAGCACCATCTGAAATTACATTTGTGTTTTCTTATTAATTATCATGTTCCTACGTTTTACCGTTCAGTAGACAGTTTTACTGGCCGGTGTGAAAAGCCTGTGGCGGTGCCTGTGGCCGGAGCCTGCCGCCCAGTCCTGCTGGTCAGTGAGTCAGTGTGCACACGACCTGGAGCGAAGGAGTCTGGGAGCTGGGCAGGGCGCATACAGCTGGCGCAGAATTGTCA